TGCTAGTGGGAGTGAGTGGAGCCAATGGGCATTAAGAGGTCTGTGCACAGGGGTGTGGTTCCCTCTTCTGTCTCTCCAGTCCTAAGTGGTAAGCCGAGCGGGGTCTGCTCTCTTCTTGGATGCTTTCCTGTCCTCTGGCCCAGGCCCCCACCAGGCGAGCGTGGTGGCACATGCACTCTCTTTGTGAGTTTCTGGCCTGGAGCTGGGGGTGTGTTGGAGCAGCCTTTTTCCCCATTTCAGTGGATAGGAGCTAAGTGCTGGGATGGAGAATGGGATGGGGTCAGGTGAGAGGTGAACTGAGCAGGTCTGTTTCCTGTGCCTAAGCCACTACCTCTCACTGGTTTAGAAAGCAGGAGTGTTCTATGAGCTTCCGCCCAGACGACCAGGATCCTACCCTGAGACTCAAGCCAGGTAACTGCAACACTTATTTCCTTGCTTTCCATTGGTTTTTTATTTTTATACAACTCCACTGGGAACGCATCGAGGCGAAATGAGAGTTCTGGTCTGGGACTGGGCCTTCTTGGACATCCCAGTCTACTTCAAAACCATATCCTTATTTCTGACATCCGGCAGGACTGCACCCCAACTTCAACCATAAGACAGGGACTAAAAAGTATGCACTGGCTTTCATAACAAGGTCATTAGTGACCTTGAACAGAGAGGGATGATAAGAAAAGCCAGGCTAGAGTGAGACAGGAAGAGTGGCAGATGAGAGAGAAATGGGCTGGGCACGGTGGCTCATGCCTGTAATCTCGGAACTTTGGGAGGTTGAGGCGGGTGGATCCCTTGAGGTCAGGAGTAGTTCAAGACCAGCCTGGCCAACATGGTGAAACCCCATCTCTATTAAAAATATAAGAATTAGCTAGGCACAGTGGTGCATGCCTATAATCCCAGCTACTTGGGAGGCTGAGGTAGAATTGCTTGAATCCATGAGGCAGAGGTTGCAGTGGGCCGAGATAGTGCCACTGCACTCCAGCCTGGGTGACAGAGCAAGACTCTGTCTCAAAAAAAAAAAAAAAAAAAAAAAAAAATGTGCTCTATAGGGTTTCTTTTCCAGGGGACAGGAAAGAGGTGAAAATAGTCGAAGACATGAGGTCAAGGCCACATGGGAAGAGCTGGCAAAGAGGAAGTACAGAGAGACAGGGAGAACCCACAGAGTGAGGTCTGTGAGGAGGCAGGAAAGAGAAAAACATCTGGAGCACAAGGTAGGAATTAGTTTTGGAGAAAGGGTTAACCCCTTCCATTCTAAAAGCAGGAAAAGAATGATCCCAGCACAGGCAAGTTTATAGATGTGGTGGCAAAAAAAAAAAGGTAAAGGAATTACTATCTGATGGCTGTTTTCTCTGTGAAATTGGGGGTGATATCCTGAGCTGAGAGTGAGTCAGAGATTGAAGGAGGATGAAGTTTAAAGGGGATCACAGAGAGTGTCCCAGGCAGGCAGCTCCAGAGTGAGGCCCAGCAGATTCATCCCAGCACCACAGCTGCTGCCAGTCCCAGCCCACTCTGCTCAAAGTCACATCAAGTGGAAGACTCCGGCCAGGGCTGCTGACACCTGGGTTCTCAGCCTAATAATTAGCTACCTATTTGATGATGGTGATTTCTATGTATTTTTAAAGCCCCAAGGGGCTGGGCGTGATGGCTTATGCCTGTAATCCCAGCACTTTGGGAGGCCAAGGCAGGAGGATGGCTTGAGCCCAGGAGTTCAGGACCAGCCTGGGCAACAGAGTGAGACCCCAGCTTTACCAAAAAAATCCCAAATTATTTGGGTGTGGTGGTGCATACCTGCGGTCCTAGCTATGGGGGAGGCTGAGGTGGGAGGATTGCTTGAGTCTGGGAATTTGAGGCAGTCGTGAGCCCCGATCATGCTCATGCCACTGCATTCCAGCCTGGGTTATAGAGCAAGACCCTATCTCAAAACAAAACAAAACAAAACAAACAAACAAACAAAAAAACAGGGCAGAAACAAGGAGAAATCCTTGGATAGGTCAATATTCCCTGATAGGGACAGCTGCTACCGACAGATTAGTATTTTTCAAAGTGTATTCAAAGAACTTTAGCTCTGAAGATGTTTCAAGGATAAAGGTGAAAAACAGGTTTGGAAAATCCTGCATTTTGGAAAAACCTCCCCTTGGAGGTTGCATTCATATGCAGAAAGATCTGAAACATTTAAGTTGGAGAGAAAACTTTCATTTTTGTTTCAGTATTTCAAACCACAGACCCCTCTCCCTAACATGCCCATTGTTCCCATGACCACTCAGAACTAACAGTCTGTGGATTTCACTTTAACTTATATTCGTTAAACAAACAAATCACCTGAACGCGACTATCGGCCCAAGCACAATCAACTAGTTGGGGTTAGTGAAGGACATTTTCCACTTGGTATGTTCAAAGTGGTTGTCATTTAAACAACTATTTCTTAAGGAAGATTTTCAGCCTGTTGAAGAGTGAGAATAATCTGTGGCATGAACAGAAACATTTTCAATCTGTGAGAAAACTCACAGTCCAAGAGTCAAGTTAACTGAAATCCACAGAATGGACTGAACATGCTGCAGACAAGCATTCTTGGTCCAGACACCGCCTTATAAGGTGGCCTGACATTTTCTCATGGCCCAGGCCACCCTCCAAAAATATCCAGAGACAGAGGAAGAATGGGAACTGACCTCCCTGAACGTTTCAAATATGAACGAGCAGCCTCTCCATGAAATAGGACGGCTGACACCTTTGCAAGCCAGCTCCAGAAGCACTCCGCTTTTCAAAACCAAGTAGTTGCAGGGTCTGCAATGGGGAGGAGGGCTCTGCAGCTGGGAGAAAATAGATTGAGCCTCAAAGCACACACCCGAGCTGGTTTCTTTGCTCTAAAAAGTGTTATTTCCTGTACTCCTCCAGAATATGCTTTAAAATCTGTCTTTGCTTTATATGGACAATAAAAGAACCATGACTGATTTTCATTAGAGTGTCTCTGCCCCTTCCCGTGTCCTTGGGATGAAGCTGTTTTCCAAACTCCTTTGGCAATTAAGGCCCCGGATCGCTTGTGAGGTGCTCCCCCTAGTGGGGAAGCCTGGCTACGACGACACCGCAGGGGAAACGGAGATCTTTGCTTTAAGCAAGCACAGCATCTGGAAACACATCTGGATTGTCTCCATCCAAGGCCAAAGCTAGATGCGAAAGCACTGCCATGGTAACAAGTCCATGCTCTGGAATTAGGGAGCAGAAGGCGTGACTTCCAAATATAAAAATATTTATGAAATGGGCAATAGGTGCTTCTATACATGCAGCCTTTCAGGCTCACCAAGTGGGATTTTAGAGTGAATTACCTTTTGTGGGAAAGATTATTTTGGGTATCAAGACTTGCCCACATAGCACCAAGGGCATATCTTCAAATTTAAAAGAAGTATTGGTCAAATAACCACACTGCTCTCTCTTCTAATTCTGGTTCTGTTATAGGCAGAGAAATGTTAATAGGTACGGCTATTTTTGGTAATAGTTGCTTACAACAGTTTCTTCACCACTAAACTATATGACAATGAGCCAGGCTATTTGTGAGGCTGGGATTTTTTTCTTTTCAATAATGAAAGGAATTGCAAAGCTAGTCTTATTCTTGTTAAAGGGAACAGAAAAGCAGCAGTATTTTTTGAATGCTGTGTTAACAGTAGGTCTCTTAATTATACCAATGGTAATTCCTCCAGGCTAAGGCTTATATTAACATAGTACACATAATTGCCACAAAATATGACAATGACAAATTGGAAAGCCCCAGTCTCCCATTACCATGCTAACATTGTAAAGGTTGTATTTTCTGAGTAGCCTCTACTATTAACTCTACCATCAGTTCCTCAGTTTCAGTTGGAATACTCTTCTTTTTTTCATAAATAAAAAAGCCAACCTCTGAAGCCAAATAGGCTCTACACGAGGAGAGAGGTGGTCTAACCTGTGCTGGGAACATCTAGGCCATGATTAGACGGCATTTAGAAGGGAAGTGCTCCCCTCCGAAACAAAGACCACAATCTTAGGCCATGGTTACAGTCTGAGAAAGAGCTGGCAGATCCAGGCAGGAAACACATCACTGCTGCAGGCACCACGAGCGAGGGGTCACCAGAACTAACTAGGACATACCCAGCACTGGAGGCCCAGAGCTAGATTAGCTGTGACCCAGTGGAGGACATCCCAAGGCAGTGTCCTTCTCACTGCTTCTTACTTCGAGCCTGAGTGAGGAGGGCCGTTCCTGGATTCCTGTGTTTGGAGAGATTTTTCAGAATGAGGTACTTGAACTTCACATCTTGCTTTAATATAAGATGAACAGTGCTGGGCAACAGGATCTCCCTGCTGAACTTCTGTTAGAAAAGTTACACTAACAGGCTGGGCTGTGGTGGCTCATGCCTGTGATCCCAGCACTTTGGGAGGTCAAGGTGGGTGGATCACCTGAGGTCAGGAGTTCGAGACCAGCCTGGCCAACATGGTGAAACCCACCTCTACTAAAAATACAAAAAATTAGCCAGGTGTGGTGGTGGGCACCTGTAATACCAGCTACTCAGGAGGCTGAGGCAGGAGCATTGCTTGAACCTGGGAGGCAGAGGTTGCAGTGAGCTGAGATCATGCCATTGCACTCCAGCCTGGGTAAACAGTGAAGCTCCATCTCAAAACAAAACAAAACCCCAAAAATTACACTGACAAAACCCCAGGATGTTATATGACAAGGGTCCTCAACCTTGTACTGATTAATCTCTGAGATTTCCTGGTCACTTGCATGAGGAACCCCTTGTCCCTCTGCAGCCAGCTTGCAGACTGGCTTAGTAAGCCTGGACTGACTGTCAGGGAGGAACTTTTTGGAAAGCTCTTAATATAAGCTGTCTTTCCTGTAAGTGCAGGACCATTATGAATAGCAGAATTAGATTTTAAAATTGTCAAAGAACTGGAGTCCATAATTGAACTGAAATTCTCCCATATTCCTGCAACACCACATTAGGCCTACTGACTACAAAAAATCATCGCATCCACTGGTGGGTATTTCAAATCCAGGCAGAGCACACACCAGTTTATTTTGAAATGCAACACAGATCAGTATTTTATGAATACAACTGATTACTACATTAACATTATCAGGTAAAAACAGCTTTCAAATGCATGCATAGAAAGTTAAGCATAGTCTCTGAACTCCTTATTTCTAAATATACAAAAAATACATTTAAATTATATAATTTTAGTGAATCAAAGACTTATAAAATTACAATTTTGGTTTCACAACATAGAAAAAATACAAAAATGACTATATATACGGTTGTATATAATTTTTTTACCCAAATTTCAAAGGAGCAGTATGTATTGAATTTAATATTTTATAATGTTTTATCTGAAACTCAGAAATGCAAGTAATTTGCAGGTTGGACCACATCAATGCCAACCTTTTATTATAAGTGAATAACCAAAAAAATAAGTGAAAAATGAGAGCACGATCTCTTCTTATGCCTCTTCAACTCTCCAGCATCTAAACCTTTCCTGTCAGAAGTCTGCTCTGGAGAAACTTTTTCATCTTATTCACGGAATAAAGGACAGTGCTTTATACCCTGACTAACTCTCCATGGTGCCTCTGATAATGGTTGGTACGTGTTAAATGAATGAGCCCAACCTCAGCAAACAGAACGCAGCAAGATGCAGATTAGCAGCCTGTGCTGGCAAAAGCACTACTGCTGATCTCAAAGAATTCTCTCTGTCAGAAGGCGGCCCCCACGGGGGGATCTGAAACACACAATCAAGTGGGTAGTTGGGAAGATGACGCCTTTGACTGTGCCCTGAAATGAAACCACTAAGTCTGACAAAATACCCACAAAAACATGACATTCCTTGTTCACACTTTATAAGAAGATGTGACATTTGGTGGTATGGTTGTTCTCAATTTATAAAAGAACAAAGGACTTCAAAGGAGAAATGAATTCATGTTAGAGATAAAGAAACCAGTTACTGAAAGAGGTTACTGAAGGACACAGTGACATGCCTTACTTATCTGCCATTAAGTATTCTAAATGTTGATGTGCAAAAATACACACTGGGGTTGAGACCCTTTTTGAAAAGGGAGCTGTGTGCTGTGTTCTCATTGCCAAAGTTCAATGCAACACTACCGTTTGCAACAGAATGTTTTTCATAAACAGTGATAAATTATAATAAAGAGGCCCAAATAAAACCCCCAGTTCATCAACCATGGAAAAGCTGCATTTTTATCTTGACTTCTAGAATTTTTCCAAAAACAACTGAAAATATCTGGCCGAATAAAGTAATATGACAAATACAATTCAAGTTGATTCTTTTTGTAGTAGAAATACATTATGGAAGAATAAAACAAGAGAAAAGGCTTGAAAAAATCTTCCCCACATGTTTTGCCTATCAAATACAAGAATAGATTCTAATTTCGACATGCCCAAGTTGGGTACTGACTTACGAAGCAGAATCTTAATGTTCAATTCAAAAATAATTTATTACACACCTGCCTGCATTTCACTTTCAAACTTCTATAAAAATAAGCATTTAAAAATTTAGTTTTCCAGTATGACAGTTTTCTGATGTTCACAATTATATTTTAAATGACAACTACTCCTCAGTAAGCTAAACTTTTAAAGTATTCAAAATCAATATCAATCCAAAAAAAAAAAAAAAAAAAAAAAGAGGGGGAACAAAAGGGAAAAAGGCTCCATGAGGAAGATATTGTGCTATTTAATAGTTAATGCACATCGAAGCTCGGGCTTTCACATTTTCATCCAAATTTTTTTTTTTTTTTTATTTTTTTAGTTTATCCACAGTTGTAGTGTCAATCCTTTCTTGAGGAGTTTTATATGCATGGTTGAGCAATTAAATCGTGTGAGGATACGGCATGGATTAGACAATGTGGGTAGGAACAAACTATTTCTTGGCTGCACCAACATGCGGAGATTGATACTGCTTTTTAGCTCACGACAGCCCAAGTGGAATGTTTTACTGCCTATAGACTTACAGCTTGGTGGAAATTAACATAGGGCCTTAATTAGCAAAAGTATCCAAACGGAAGAGTCAACGAAAATTTAAAAATAAAATAATGGTGTATAAACCTATTCCTGAATGTTTTTCCTGACTACCTTTCTAAAGCAACATCTTCCATGTGCTTTCAATAACAGAGCCTCCATTCCTACGTGACTGGATCGGCTTCTTCAGGGCCATCAGTGAGAAGAGCTACCGGCAAACACGCTCAGAGGTGCTCTGAGAACGGTGCTGTGAAAGGGACTTGTCACTTACGAGCTACTGAGCTTCCCCTTTCCAGGAACTGTCATTTTGTTAAGATATGATTGAGGCTGAGCTCCAGATAAGATATATTCTTTACAATATACACATACTTAGTAGATTCAAGCACGTTTCTTAGTGGCAGGCAGTAATGACTCAACTGAAAACAAACAAAAGGGTTCTAGTTTTCTGATTATGGGCACTACCCCGAAGCTTCATAGGCATATACATTTTATAATTCATTCCTTAGATATGAGGGGATAGGTCCCAGCCATAACTTCAGAGCATTCCAGAGAACAGAGTTTGCCGCTTCAAAAATACACATAGTTTCCAGCATGCAGTCAAGCACTTTGAAAAGGGAATGCTAAACACTGCAGACTGAAACAGAACTCTACTGCAAGCCAGGCATTCAGCTGGCACAACTGCATTACTCACACTGTAACTCTCCTGTACTTAGTGTTACAGGTCTTTATTGATCAGACACATGAAGGACACAGGAGGACATAAAATGCCAAATCCCTTTCTAGTGCCATCATAAGTATTAGGAACTTCTGCTTGAAAGAGCATGCTGAAATGAACTGGCTAGGATGTTTTATGTAACAACTTTTTTCTAAAATAAAATCTCAGGCCCATGTGACACTGGATTTTTCTTTTTGTTTTGTTTGAATATTTTAAAAATAGTTCTTACTTATGTATTGGGAACTCAAAAAGTCTGCAGCATTTTTTTGATCACTGAAAAGTTTGTTTTGGTGGGAGGTGCAGAAAGCAGGAACTATTCAAATTTCTTGTGTTCTTCAGTATGAGAAAGGACCTTTCTTCTCTGGTGTATCATGTGGAAGTATAACTGGGGAAAAACTGAAAAGAAAAGAAAAGTTCGTTAAGAGGATGGTTTAAAATTACATGCTCTAAGCATATGAACTTGAGGTCCTCTCTGACCCTCTGACTAATTTCTTATCCAGCGATCAAGGAAGGTAACTAAGTAGGCTTGGGGAGAGGGAGAAAAAACACAGAGAGGCTTACTTTTCTTTTCCTGCTTTAGCAGAGGGGAAAGAGTGGTGTGGAATAGAATGACAGACACTGTTGTCACTATCATGACCCATCTCGATGCCACAGAGCAGTATTTTTACACCCATTCATACATTATCTCCACATTTATTCTGACTACACAACTACCAGGTGAAGAATTCTAGTGAGGAAGTCATTATTCCTATTTCAAAGAAGAGGAATTTGAGCCGCAGAGAGGGTAAGCAGTTTGCCTGGGGTCTCACAGTACGTCACAAACAGGGTCGGGACCAGGCTCTTGGCTCCTGACCTTCAGCCCAGCCCCATCTAGTCCCAGGGCTGGTGGTTCTTTGGGAAGAACAATCTCTCTTGGGAAGTAGTTTTGGGCAAAGACTGAGGAGGAGGAGAAATAACACAACATTTGATTTGAACACAACTAAGCCAGGTTTGGATGTGAAAAAAGGCCTTATGAAAAGCAAGCCAGTGTCTTAGGCACTGGGGATTCTTCTGTTCTTGGTCATTTCATAGAATACTTTAGAAAGCACTGGTTCTCAAATGAATGGGGTAGTACTGCCTCCCCTGGAACTATCTGGAACTATTTTGATAGTTTGACTATTTGAAATAAGGGAGAAAGGGGAAGGTTACTGGCATTTGCCATATGAGACCGGGGATGCTAAAACATACCACAGTGCACAACAGTACCCACAACTAAGAAGTATCCCACTCAAAATGCCTGTAGTGTCCCTGCTAGGAAATACCAGTTCAAGCCACCTGGTCTTTGCGAGGTTCCTGTGTGTCAACAGCTCCAGGTGAGATGCTCTTTGTGGTACAATAACCTTCCTCTCCTTATCTCTCCAATAACTCCAATCTCTATTTCTTTATTATCATTTTTAGACCGGGTCTTACTTTGTCACCCAGGCTGGTGTGCAGCGGAGGGGTGTGATCTTGGCTCACCGTGGCCCGGACCTCCTGGGCTTAGTCAATCCTCCCTGCTCAGCCTCCTGAGTAGCTGGGACTGCAGGTGCACACCATTTCGCACCCGAGTCATTTTGTATTTTTCGTAGAGATGGGGTGTCCCTATGTTGTCCAGGCTTGTCTGGAACCCCTGGGTTCAAGGGATGGGCCCACCTCAGCCTCCTGAATTGCTAGGACTATAGGCACGCGTTACCAAGCCCAATCCAATCTCTCTTTTTTAGAAAGTAAAGAATATTTTTTGGAAGACAATTTCAACTACTCTCAATTCTTTCCTGGCAGTTTCTTCCTTTTTAAATGGGTTCCAAGCTGGCCAAATTTCAAACAATCCTCCCAGAGTACTCCGGGATACCAGTGGGTATGTGACAAAGATCTGCTAACCTGCAGAGGAGGCAGCACCCTGAACAGGGCTGCCGTCCACTCCACTGCTACTGCCAGGCGGGACATTATTGACAGAAAAGACCCCAACGAAGCATAGAATTCAACAGGCAGAGAACTATTTTGGCACGAAAGCCAGAAAATATGACAAGCTCTATAATCTAAAAACTGGAAGTAAAGATGTAATTAAACCATAGGAATGTTAATTGTAATCATTTAAAAATGTGGGGCCAGTCCCATTTCTATAGATTTACTTTAATGAAGGGAAACTGAGCTGGGCATGCTCAAGACCTTCCCACTGGTTGCATTTGTGTTCACATTACCCCACAGCAGGCGGTGGCAGCCTCACAGCTGGTTCAGAGGGCCCGGGGGAGGAGAATGACCTAGAAGTCATGCAGTGGGCGCTTAGTGGCAGTTAAAGGAAGAAGATAGCTACGTAGACCTTCATTTCTACGGGCAGGGCCTGCCGCCTCGGGTCAGATGATGACACTTTCATTCCTTTACATCTCCCAGAGATTCCTCAGGACCCAGAGAAAGGAATGTGGGTGGGAGGCCAAGGAACTAGGGTGCCTGGCCTATTCTCCACAGTTCAGGCTTGGCTTCTGGCTGATCAGAACTGTGATACTGTCTCCATCTGAATCATCTACACGTTCAGACTAAACCCAACCATGAGACTGAAACCATTCCAGATGCATGGCTGCTACTTTTAACAGCATGAGCTACACTGAGAAATAACACTGAAAAAAACCCTCAACCCAACAACAGACTATTGAGAATTCCACCTTCTGCTCTCCCAGTTCAGAAAACACAGAATGGGGACACTGCTGGGCACACGTGTGTGTATGTGTTGGGGGTGAGGGGAGTGTGGGTGCTGCTGGGCCCTCTTTTCTTTAAGAAGACGGCCAACTTTCTTGGGGTTCTCTTCCCCTCTGGGGAGCGAACTATGGGGGACGAGAGAATCAGATATGCTCTCTGCCTGGGCCAAGTCCCCTTGGTTTCTCTAAAAATCAGAGGTGTGGTTACAGTTACTGACAACCTGGAAAGTGCCAGCTTCTCCAGGTCCTCACCCTTCATCAATATATCTTGACCATTTTTTTGCTCCCTCCCCCATAGCCAATTTTCACCAATTCGTTGGTGGAATGTAAACAGGCCTTAGGCATCTACTGAGTCCTGCAGGGACTGTGTTGTACTGATCCTGTAAATATTGCAACTACAGCAGAACAGGAGAGGAGCACCTGGCCAGGGCACCAGGGCACCCTAATATGAGGAAACTCCTGGGGCAAGCCTCATGAGCCACAATTTAGGCTATGTGTTCAACAACGCAACAACGGAGGGAGATCATAAGGGGAGGTGTTACTTTATATCACACATGTGTATCATCAACTTGCCAATAAAGATGAAAAGAACACTACCTTGTAGAAAGAAAACCAAATTTGGTAAAGGAGACTGCATGTCAACAGCAGCCTCTCCTAAGTCTGCATTTTCTCTGATAAACACAAAGCTCTGGGAAGTTGGAAATGTGCGGCTGGCCAGAATGAACTGTACACTCGGGCCTCAACCGTAACAACCTGAACCCCCGAGAGCATCCAGAGCTGCTGGCTCAGGCCAGAGCACAGTGAGGCCAGCAGACACAAGGGTGACTCGCATCAGGAGAGGTGGTATGTGTACCATCTTGCACCTGGGCGGGGAGTCAAGAGGTTTGCAGGAAATCTTTGAGTCATTGAGATCTACCCTTTTCCCTGGTCTACAGGAGGTAAGCTGCCTTAGAAAAAGAAATTATGTCAGAATTTAACTGAGCCAAGTTCTCTTACCGAAAGGAGGCTACAAGAGAGAATTACTTGAAGTAAAGAAAGCAGACTTCTGTCAGGAGGAGAGTCTTGCCCTGCTCTCTAAAACAAGCGTCCCCAACCCCCACCTGCTGGAACCAGGCTGTACAACAGGAGGTGAGTGGTGGGTAAACAAGCATTATGGCCAGAGCTTTGCCTCCTGTCAGACCAGCAGTGGCATTACATTCTCCAACAGTGAGAACCCTGTTGAAAACTGCACATTCAAGGGATCTAAGTTGTGTGTTCCTTATGAGAATCTAATGCCTGATGATCTAAGGTGGAACAGTTTCATCCTGAAACCATCCCCACCACCACCACCACCCAAGGAAAACCTGTCTTCCATGAAACCGATTCCTGGTGCCAAAGGTTGGGGACTGCTGCTCTAAAAGACAGCTGGCTCTGGGGTCAGTGTTTTCTCTTTCCTCTATCTCTTCCAAGACCAAGATGAAAAGCTCATAGAACTGGGTTTCCTTCAGGAAAGCTATCATCACCAGAGGCTGCATGTGGCGCCTAGGCATTGTCACTACACCAAGAGCTCAGCAGGAAGAGGCACAGCTCGGCACTGGTTGGCCACTAGAGCACAAAGAGACAGACAGATGGAGGCAGCCCTGGGGAGCAGTTCCTGGAAGGAAGCCGTGCTTCCTAGAGATGTTGGAAGTCTTGCAGGAACTCTCAGGTCAGGATCACTGGATTTTTGTCAATGTGGAAGCAGCTTGTTATGGATATGGTTTCATAATACCCTCCCTGCCCCTCTCCTAGTCATCCAGTATGGTATATATCTCCTATTCACTCGACTTCGGTGAATTCAAATAAAGCCTGTGATGCCAACTGGGATAATAAGTGTTAGTTACTCTGGGTGTGGTAAAACTGCAACTGTGAACGGCTGCTCTAGAGACTGGAAAATGAAACTCTAAAAAAACAAAATTAGAAAGGTGAAACACTATTAGTTAATTTTTACTACTTAAATGTTTAGATGATTTCACATTTATCTTCTGTTTGAAAACCAACTACTTTTTACATTTAAAGAGAGATGGCCTCTGGCCACTATGGTTCCAGCACTAGAGAGCAGGACTTGATCGTTTTAAAGGGTGGAAAATGAATCATGAAGCAGAACTATATCCAAGAATTTCTCCAAGATAAATGCTCACATGAAATCTGGATGTAGTTTTTTTCTCACAATGCATGAAATGCAATTTTCCACAGAGGGACACAAACATGTCACTTTGCTAGGATGATTCATTCAGATAATGCCACGGAAATGAAGAAAAATCCAACTCTGTCTGAATTTAACTTGGGGTTTAGGGAAGAACATAGCATCTTTTCTAGATTAAAATAATATTCAGAGTTACAATGGTTACAGAAATAGCTAAATGAGAAGAAACACTAACATTATATGTCCTTGGTTATAACAAGTTTGGCATGCAGCAATCAATCATAGGATTTATAATTGAACATCAGGATTCCACAAAAGGACTAAACTCATCCTCAGAAAGTAGGGCTCACTTCACAGAGACAATAAACATGTCTTTTTCTCTGCCACTGAATACACAGATAGGCACATTTGATTATCTATATACTAAGTCTTCAGTGGTACTATTAAAATAATTGGAAACCATCTTGAAGAGAACACTGTGTCTCAATCAGTGCTCAAAAAGAAAATAAAAAATTTGGAAAAAATAAATCTGTAATTATTTTGTAATGTTTCTAGTTAACTACCAATCCCTTCAAAATGAAGTTATATGTCTACTTCGATATAGGAACCAATGCAAAAGTCTTTTCACCATGTTTTTCAAATACTGGAACAAGCAGTTCTCAAGAGACAGAAAACTACAATCAACAGTCAGGCCTTTAACGGCTTTGTTGCTTTCCATTCAGTACTTTCTCCAATATATACTTAACGTAGCCTGGCATTCACAGTTTCAAACCCACACGCTGAGAAGGGCTGCATTTTGGCAACTGTATTGAGAAGGGTTAGTCTTTATTCAATTACTACTGGAAAAAATTCCCTTTGATAGCATTCAATAAAAACCAAGCATTCCTAATAAATGAGATTTACATTTATTTGAATATGGTGCAAAAACAATCAAAGATATTAACTCTAGTTACTGTAGAGCCAAATTTTAAAACATCATTAAATATATGCATAACTGTTCACTTACTTGGAATGTAGGAGATCATTATTAGAATCAGGAATGCATAGTAGTCAAAAGAGAAATTGTATTTGTTGGGTAAACTGATGGAATACAGGCCAGCCTGTCTGACAAAGGGCAGAGCTGCGTATATTGTGAGCAGTTCTCCTGACACTCCCATTGGGTACAGCACAATGAAAAGTGTGTACCTAAAACAAAACACAATATTCATTACTGAGGCTCAAAGCCAGCTTTAGGAGGAAGCTGCACTTCCCACCCTTCTAATCAGTACTAGTCTTTTAGAAAATGTTTGCTTATATATTTTCCTGTTTACTTGCTATTCAAATTCTGGTTTTACAAGCCAGTTTTTGAAAGGAGCCTACAGCAGGTATATGTTTCCAAATGTTCTACGACAAAATAAATGTGTTCAGGCAGCCTCAAAATTTGGTCTGACTAAATAAACAACTCTTCAAAATAACGCTCTAAAATAACTAAAATGATGCCAAATGCTGGTAAAGGAGGGGAACTGAGTCATGGTTTATACTGAAGGGTCCTGCCCTGTGGGCCTTGGGATGGGGTTGGGGCAGAGGTGTTGGAACATGTGGTCTAGGAATTCCCACAACACACAAAAAGACTAAACAACAACAACAACAACAAAACAGCACAAACATCTGTATACTATTTTTCAAATGTTTGTACATGATATTGTAAAAAATCAAATATATGCGATTAAAAAAATTTAAAATTCATAATAGCTTTTGGTTATTACATAATTTTCCAATCAAAACACCTCACGGTTACAATTATCATCACGTGCGAGGGGTTCTGCATAATTTTTTTCTCTTTAAAAAGGAGTTCTCCATATTCCACAAAGAATTCAGAGAGCAGTCACTGACCCATGGAAGTGTAAGCCGCTGTAAGTACTGCTAAAGGAGTCATCAGCTCAGACTTTAAAAAGCCTTTGGCTATTTGTGACTCACAATGTGCAATGGACTACAAACGTCTGGGCACAGGAATTGCACTGAAAATCTCTGAAGAGGAAGGGAAGACATAGTCCCCACTGCCAATTTTAGCCACACTAAGTAGGATGGTGGAAAAAATCTTTCAGAGGCCACGGAGAACAGTAGACGAAAGAACCTTTCTCCAACAGTAATCAGGCCTTGGTCAGCAGAATTCCCTAACAACCAGGGTGAACAGCTTTCACAGTGGCTGTCTAGGTTGGTTAGTAACTGTTGTGTTTCCCATTCTTCCCCTTTCCTAATAAAAATGTTCATTGCAAATGAGAAAAATAATAAAAATAATAAAGGAGTTCCCATACTCGAAATGTTGGAAACAATCAGATTATGTCCCTAATTTAATCAATGAACTCATAAACAGTCTAGGAACCACTGACTTCCTTCCACCAAATAAGGCGTTTCACCTCCAGGGACAACTTGGATCCTTCTGCTTTGTCACTCTCCCTCAAAGTGTTTCCCAGCTCAGAAAACTGCCTACAACCGTCTCACGGACTCACTAAGGTAAGCAGATGAACTGCTAGCCTTATACCCAATTCATCATTACTGGTAAAAATAATCAAAGCAAAATAAAAGCGATAAGCTAAAACTGCCATGTAATGTTTATTATCTACAAATCAAGAGTCACAGCTTCTTGGCAAAACTGAGACTAGAACAGGACTTGGTCCAAAAAAACCCATCGCAATGGCAGAAGCTCATCAGTAAACTGTGATGATGTGGACAAAAAAGGGATGTTACAGCAAATCTCTATTGATTGTTACTTGGTGATGACATTTTTTTTATAAAGGAAAATACTGCATAATTGAAGAGAACTGATCCCAATTAAAATAATTTAAGCAAAATACAAAAAATCTTAAAACAGTATTTCTGTTAGTCAAAGTTAAGTACAGACTCTTATTCTGATGAAATCTACAGACAAGATTTCTACCCAACCTTTGTCTCAATTTTATTTTTAGGAACGTGGAGGCAATATTTAGGCAATAAAAGGCAAATGCATTGACAGATCATTTCAAAAGTAAGCCTTCATTCCTTATGCTTTTTTACCTGGCCCATTTGATGAGGTAAGGCAGATGGTTTAATAGACTGAACGTATAAAAGGAGTAACGTATGATTTCCGTGATCGTCCAGGCAATAACAAACAGGAGGACACTGTCTTCAGTCTGTACCTGAAGGAAGAGGAAAACAAAAGAAAAAGCCAACACAGAGACGTTAATGAAGACAAACTCACAATGTGCAGTGCCCCACAGAGCTGGGGAGTGAGTCGGCACGGCCGCTAGTCTCTATCTTCAGGGCTACTGTACAGCAGATACAGCATGTGTGTAGAGGAGCTGGGGCTTAGGGCGACAGCTGTGTACAGAGATGAGGGCCAAGTGCAAAGACCCTCAGTCACCAGGAGCAAGGGCAGCAGGGCAGGGGGAACAAACATGAGAGGTGGGGGTTTTGCAGGTTTGCCAGCCTCACGTGGAGAACGTGGACTGATGTCAGCGGGAGCCGAGAGCAGTTAGGTAAGGAGGGTGGGAGGGCAAAGTGGAGAAGAGCCTTGGATCCATTACCAAGAATTTTACTTGATTTGCATGACAGCTGCGAACCCAAGGCAATTTCAGAGAAGGGGAATGTAATTATTAAAGCACAACTGGGCCGGGTGCAGTAGCTCCCGCCTGTAATCCCAGCACTTTGGGAGGCTGAGGTGGGTGGATCACCTGAAGTCAGGAGTTTGAGACCAGCCTGGCCAACATGGCGAAACCCTGTTTCTACTAAAAATACAAAAAAATTAGCTGGGTGTGATGGTGCATGCCTGTAATCCCAGTTATTCAGGAGGCTGAGGCAGAATTGCTTGAACTCGGGAGGCGGAGGTTGCAGGGAGCCGAGATAGTGCCACTGCACTCCAGCCTGGCTGAGAGAGGGAGATTGTCTCAAAACACAAAAACAAAAACAAAAAGCACAAAAGAAGATGGGGCTAGCTCACAGAGCAAGAGGAATTCCACTGAGGGGAGGGCTGGGGACCACCTGCAAGGTAAGAGCCCATTTATTTCCTCCCATTAGAGACTTCCCCCAAAGGAGGCCGGCATTAACTCCTCCATGATTAGGGAAGCTTCCATGCTGTTCCCAGGAGGCAGTTAGAGCCAAAGAGCTTTGAAATCCCTAGCCTCCTCTGAAGTGGTTTTTATGCTGAAAAAACAATAAATGTTTAAAAGAGCCCCTAGGTGACTTTTTAGGAGGCATTCTCTTCCATTGAAAATGTACTGCTGTGGTTTTAACTTTCAGCACCTTCCCCATCCCTTCTCAGCTGGGTTTGTAATGACCTTTTGTGCTTGAAAATCAGCAAGAAACACCCTTGCACCTCAATTCACATTAGTTTCCATGCATCTAAAAAAGACAGTCCAAGAGTCGGATGTAAACAAGAAATCCCACCCCATAAACCAAACAAATCTTGATGACATGATGGACTTTCTGTCCCACTCTTAATACCTAATACAGCAAGGGAATGGCATTCTAGCCTTAACTTTTGCTTCTTTCCATTTGCAATGTTAATCGTTTTTAGCACTTATATTCTTCCTCAGAAAGTGTACATGGAGTGATCCACCTACACAATGAAATAAGCAGTCATTTACATATCTATTAACTAAATTGTTCTGACAAAGAATTTCATAAACGCACAGTTACTATTCTCTAAAAATAATAAGAATTTTATACTGTCAAGAGCAAGAGTACTTTCTGTTTTCCTGGTGCTCTCATATTAGCCAAAGTAAAGCAAAAGCAAACACCTCTAAAGCTTTCATGGTGAGATTTTTCAGTCTGTCCCCAAATCCTTACTTGAATCCATCTACACCAAAATACCATATTAATATAAAAGCACAATTTGCTTTTTGATGTGTTTCATAATCCTCCTTATCTTAAGGAGTTATGTTTGTACAGCTATGAGTAGAAGCCTTGCCTAAAGAGCTCTAGGTTATAATAGGAAATTCCTTTAATATTTTGAACTGTAAATATCTTGAAATCAGGGAACGTGTTTTATTCATCTTCTGTTTTCCAAAAGCACTTTGTGCTTTTCACAAGTAAGAGCTCAATAAATAATTGCAGAGCAAATGAATTCTGTCCTAATCGGGTTACTCTGAGACTTAGTTCCCTTCTTTTTGGTGCCTGATAGTTTCTGTGTAGACTCAGTGGCCTTCAAATAGGTAACAAAGAAACAAACAAACTCCCCAAATCCCCCAAAACCTCCTGCTTTGACCCAGCCTAGAGGTTGGTTATTATTCACCTCCCATCCACCCCCAAGTTAGACCTTAGCCAAAGGAACTATGAAAAACTCAGACTCAGGCTAAATATGAAAGCAGTCTGTTCCCAGAGTCCAGCTGTAAAGACAATGGCGTAAGTCTTTTAAAAAAGACTAGGGATGCAGGAAATGACCATTTTGTGCAAAATGATATTTTCCGATCAATAGGAAATACAACATTGTTATCAAGAAGGGACATGGATAAAGAGATTGACCTTATCTAATTTATAGATAATTATACAACCAATAACACAAAACAGGGGCAAATGTAATGCATGAGTTAGAGCCAGTGAGATCAATGAGACTTGAACAGGTATTCGTACACTCACGTTTAGAGCAGCATTATTCACAATAGTCAAAAGGCAAAGAAAGCGGGGTGTGTACTGATAGATGGATAAGCAAGATGTGGTCTATACATACAGTGGAGTACTATCATATACACCAGGCGTCCCCAAACTACGGCCCGTGGGCCGCCTATGGCCCCCTGAGGCCATTTATCCAGCCCCCCGCCGCGCTTCAGGAAGGGGCACCTCTTTCACTGGTGGTCAGTGAGAGGAGCACAGTATGTGGCGGCCCTCCAACGATCTGTGGGACAGTGAACTGGCCCCCTGTGTAAAAAGTTTGGGGATGCCTGATATACACACAGTGGAGTATTATTCAGCCTTAAAAAGAAGAAAATTCTTACACATGCTACAACATGGATGAACCTTGAGGACATCAGGCTAAGTAAAATAGGCCAGTCACAAAAAGATGAATACTGTGTGACTCTACTCATACGTGGTACCTAGGGTGAGGCAGAGACAAAAAGTAGAGACAGAAGCTGGCCAGCAATTGGGAAGATGGGAAAGAGAGAATTACTGTTTAATTGGTGTGGAGTTCCATTTTGGGAGGACTAAGAAAGTTCTGGAGATGGACAGTGATGATGGTTGCACAACAATAAGAAAGTGTTTATGCAACTGAACTATACAAAAGTGGCAAAATGGTAAATGTTATATGCATTTTACCACAATAAAAAATAAATAAAATCCCCCCCCCCCAAAACAACTGCAGAAACATAAATTCACTAAGTCTAAATGTATTACATGACTTAGCAACATCAAAATGACTCCACAACAGAACGGAAAAGACGTACCTTGCGAAATCAAGAGATCTGGAGTTTTTGGTGAACCATAAGCCTCAAAGGAGCCAACAGGGTATGAGGTGGCTGTTCAAACAAACAAAACTCCAGGATTCAGCCACAATAACAGTCTTATCCCAATTACTGCACTGTAAATAGATGAGACCTCACTTAGGGAAGACAGTCTGCTAGAAGAACTCCTCATTAGCTGGGCCAGGTGGCTCACACATGTAATCCCAGCTACTCAGGAGGCTGAGGCAGGAAAATCGCTTGAACCCATGAGGTGGAGGTTGCAGTGAGCCGGGATCACATCACTGTACTCCAGCCCGGTGACGGAGTGAGACTTTGTCTCAAACAACAAGAACAACAACAATCACAAAAACAGACAAACAAAAACCTCCTCAACTAGCAGAGCTGACTTTGGAAAAGGAAAGAGAGGTTAAGTACTTTAAAATATGTAAAAGGATACCATGAACAAGATGGATAAAACTGGCAGGGAGTAAAATGCTGGGTTCAACATAAGAAAAATTGTGTAACAAACCAGGTGACTAATCAGACAGGCCACCTCGCAAAGTTGTGTGCTTGCAGGCCCTGGACATATCCAAATCAAGACTGCCCAGGAAGGTCCTACCAAGGACAGGAGGCTGAGCTCGCCTGGGGCAGCCAGGGCTGCCACTGTTCTTTGGAAAGGTGTGTGCCCATGACCCTCCGTGGGCAAGGCATGAAACACTGGCTAATACTGACTTCCTTGCATGAGCTGAAATTTTTCTAGCTGGCGAAAAAATTGAGTAGAGGCTTTGATAATGCTTCTTAAAATAAATTTTCCTTCATCCAAAAGGCCAGAAAGGAGAGAATAACTGACAAGCTCTCCTGTCATCATTACTGACTCCAAGCATGTGAAATGCAAATCATTCTCTGGCTATTACTCCCTGCTTGATGGCAAGGACTTCAAGAGCCAAGGTCTCATCATGTGGCTTCCTCAGTCCTGAAACAGGTCTGGACACAGGGATATGTACAATCAATGCCCCTTAAATTGGATGATAACTTATATTTTTCTTTTTTTTTTTTTTTTGAGACTGGATCTTGCTCTGTTACCCAGGCTGTAAGGCAATAGCACAATAGCAGCTCACTGCAGCTTCAACCTTCCAAGACGGCCTCCTTGGGACTGATCCACCTGCCTCAGCCTCAAGAGTAGCTGGACTACAAGTGCATGCCACCATATCCAGCTAATTTTTTTTTTTTAATTTTATGTAGAAATGGGGTTTCACTGTGTTGCCCAGGCTGGTCTCAAACTCCTAGACTGAACTGATCCTCCCTCCTCAGCCTCCCAAAGTGCTGGGATTACAGGTGTGAGCTACTACACCTGGCCACTTTTCTATTTTGAAAGCAACAACCGGGAACATTTTTATAATAAGTGGGGAGGCTCCTTTCTATTAAGTGCCAGTGACTCAGAGAAAAATAATCAATAGTCTCACAGAAGTAAGAAAAGCTAGTTAAGCTTAGGAGGAATTTTTTGAGGGGCAAAGGATTTGGATTATAAGAAGTTCTACTCAGCTGCTTTTTGAATTTAGAACTAGAAACATATAAACATATGATTTTATTAATTACCAAGAATAGGAGGTTTATGGGTGAGTGGCCCATGCCTATAATTCCAGTGCTTTGGGAGGATGAGGCAGGAGGATCATCTTAGGCCAGGGGCTGAGATCAGCCTAAGCAGCATAGTGAGACTCCATTTCTACAATAAAATAAAAAAGGAGTCAGTGTGGTTGGTGCAC